CGAAGCAACAGATCTCAAGAGAATGACTCAGGTCATATCGGAAGCGAACGATAACAATCATGAAACGCAACGGGCACTAACTCGTTTGGCCAACTTCTGCTATCTCCCGTCTTACGCCCCCAGGCCCACGCATGCATGCACTGCAGGCTTATCTAGCGCTCTTATTCATCAGCAGCCCTCTATCTTCCCTGGCTGCCTCCCCTGTGCCCATCTACGGCTTGTCGTCCTGCCTGCCTACACACGGCTACCATCCTTCAGCCTGTCATCCATCAGCATCAGCTCCATCCATCCATCCATTCATCCAGGGCTGCATCCTCTCCATCAGCACACGGTCCACGGCATCCAATCCATCCGTCCATCACATCCAGACACATGCGTCCACACTTCCAGTCATCTGAGCCGAGCGCCTTCATCAGGGCCACAGACAGGGGCGAAGGGCATCGTGAGCACTTCGCAACACAACCCCGCCGGTCAAGCGCGAGGCACACGGCTTCGACAATGGATTCGAGCGCGAAACAGGGGAAGGCAGCCCACAAAAGCTCGCAGACAGGCAGCGAAGCGAGAGAGCGAGGAAAGGAAGGCAAAATCGACGCCAGTAGCAAGGCGTTGTCGACAACAGCACCAGGTAGTGAAGCAGCAGGTCCCTCGGGACTTCCAATCGTCAGGCCAGGGGAGAGAGTCATGAGTCGGGGAGAGGGGCTCGACACTGACGCAGAGAGGTGAGGGGGAAGGTCCTCATTAAAACCAATATCAACAAGGCAGGTGAGCCATGACAGACAAGGCAGCAAGATCAGGGTAGGCGTCCGAGTCGTCTGCAGCCGATTTGTGTGCTGTGTGTTGGTCAGTCAGCGGACACCAGGGATGGGCAGAAAGAGCAGTCCTTCCGGGGAGACGAGAGTTCGACACGTCCAAGAGCCTTCAGTTGACTCCTGGCACTTGTGAGTCCAGAGTGAGCCGCTCAGGACGGACAGGGGGCTTCACCATCAGGAGCAGAGGTACGCACAGTGAGGAAGGAGGAAGGACAGGGGACTTCACCATCAGGAGCAGAGGTACGCACAGTGAGGAAGGAGGAAGGAAGGCCTCTGCACCGACTTGAGCACGGTCCTTGACTGGCATTCTTCTCAGATGATATCCAGCTGCATTGTGGTGACGACTTCAGACGGCAGGGGACTTCGAGGACGACAGCAATGGCCTCCAGTCGGCCGACAAGGGCAAGGTAGGCAAGTGACAGCATAAGGGCAGCCAGCGGGGCGTGTGACGGCACACCAGACCGGTTCAGCAGATGTCAGCTGGGCGCCCGAGCGAGGAAGAAGAACTCCAGATAGGGCATCAGGTGGATCAAGTAGACGAGGGAAAGTCAAAACTGCAGAGGTAGGCCACGAGCACGCGCCGAGAGGGATGGCGCACACCCATGTGATGGCTCTTAAAACGAGATGTGGTCTGTGCACTCCAGGTGTCGCGAGGAGTGCTGATTGCCATCGAGAACGATGAGATACGCGTCAAGATATCAGAGCGGTGAGTATCAGATGGCAACATCCAAGGAAGCGAACATCCAAACATGTCGACGTGTCCACCCTGCATCCCATAGGCATCGAACTGGCACATCGAGAACGAAGGAGATCGAGGACGACGGAGATTGAGCACGACAGAGATCGAACAGGTCGTCACCAACAGCCAGACACAACACATCACGGTACCCACATGACACCCACTCCCACAGATGGCTCAATGGCGGA